GGATATGAAATATTGAATTGAGATTAAGCAAGTGGCTTTGAGCCAAGACGAACGAACGTTCAAACTATCAGGTTGACATTTAAGGGATAATGTATTGTAGGGTGACCATACATGCCATTTTCCCTGGCCAGGACGTGTCCTGGGAAAATGGCACGTATGGTCACCCTAATATATTGTATATTCATAGTTAACTTATTACACAGATTTTTTTTTTGTTTACCTAAAATAATATATAAATACGGGGATATGAAATATTGAATTGAGATTAATGTTTTGAAATCTTATAAATCCATTATGAACAGTGTACAAAACAATCGTCAGGACAATATGATGACTACAGCAAAATTATAGTAGTATTAATACTAAATTCCTTTGATTTCATTTTCAATACAATCAAAAACTGAGACGCAAGACGACAAGCTGCATTTGAATGAAACAAGAGAGCACATCCACACCTCTGCGGTGATACAAGAGACATTGGGCTAATTCCAAACAGAAGTGAGCATCCCTATGCCCTACTCCCTTCGAAGGGCAGAGCCCTTGAAGTGTGTTCTTTGAAGGGTGCAGGGCATTACTGTCTCGTATAAGCATTTGAAACTCCCTTGGCGAAGGGAATGACTGACCAAATGTTACCTTGACAACGCTGCGTGTGCGTGCAGCATTAAGGTACTCCATCAGTTCTTGCAAATAAATATTTATTATTATTATTATTATTTTATTCAAATATTGTCTAATTGTGTCTTATTTACTATTAATCGTTTTCAAACTAAACTTGCTTACACTACCGTCTTAAATCATATTTCTATCACTGACGAAAAATATGTTGTCTTGCATTAAAATTGAAAAATTTAATTAGCCTATTTTATGTTTGTATGTGAACTCGAAATCAACCCCAACTTTGCTTTAAAAAGCATCGCAAGATCTCCTAACCGAAGATCACATGATCTTCAAGTGATTTATTATTATTATTATTATTAGGGCTTCATGTTAATGTTAATTTAATGTTTATGCTAAAAAAAAGTGCATATAGCTGCTAATTGTATTTGTTGTTTGTTGATTTTCAAATATAAAACTTATTGAAATGTTTTCAGTGTGTGTATCAGTTCTTTTTGAACGTTTTCATCTAATTTGAACAAAACCGTGATAATATTGATAATCGTGATATGAAATGTTCATACCGTTACATCCCTAGTTCTGATTAAGTGTTTTATTCAATGTTAAAATTGTCTAATGGGAGTTTGATTTTCATTTTAGCCATACCGAATGCAACAATAGATAGTTTACCTCAGATCTTGAAAATAAATTAAAGCAAACATGTACGTTAAGACTGTGAACTGTGAATATTTACTTTTAATAATGTAAAAATGTTTAGTATTAGATGATTAGATGCTAAACATGTCCATTTCGTTGGGAGTGCAGTGCACTTATGAATGGCTGTAATATTTGAATGATTCTGTCAAGTCACGTTGTTGGGTCGCATCTAGTGTGGACAGCCTAGGGCTGGACAATAATTCAATATCAATATGTATCGCGATATATTTTTTTTCAATAACGGTGATATGGTTTTTAAACACATTTCCGATATTTCGATATAGACTACATTACCAGTGTTTCCCATACATTGATGTATTTGTGGCGTTTGACTTCATTGAATAAACATGAGCACTGCACGTTTCAAAATCAAAACTTGTCGCGGGTGTTTTATATGAATGTATCTCTAAAGGGAAAGGACTGTCTTCAGAAAAGTTTCGATGGGATTTTTATTTTATCTAATAAAGAAGTGTTCATGAGCGAAGCTGCTTTGTTTACAGCCATTACTGGAGAAACCGCTAGTTCAACCGCTCTTAAAGCGCCTCCTGCTGGCAGACAATCAGTTTGCACTTTTCATACTCTTTATACTGGCTTTCAGCCTACACTACCAGTCAAACGTTTTTGAACAGTAAGATTTTTAATGTTTTTTTAATTTTTTTTAAGAAGTCTCTTCTGCTCACCAAGCCTGCATTTATTTGATCCAAAGTACAGCAAAAATGTTTTAAATATTTTTACTATTTAAAATAACTGCTTTCTATTTGAATATATTTTTAAATGTAATTTATTCCTGTGATCAGCTTGGAGTCAGTACGAAATTATAGAAATGAATACTTTTATTTAGCAAGGATGATTTAAATTGATCAAAAGTGATGATAAAGACATTTATAATGTTACAAAAGATTTCTATTTCAGATCAATTCTGTTCTTCTGAACTTTCTATTCATCAAAGAAACCTGAAAAAAATTCTACTCCGCTCTTTTCAACATAATAATGATTTTTGAGCAGCAAATTAGAATATTTTAATGATTTCTGAAGGATCATGTGACTGGAGTAATGATGCTAAAAATATAGCTTTGAAATCACAGGAATAAATTAACATTTTAAAATATTTTCAAATAGAAAACCATTATTTTAAATCGTAAATATATTTCAAAATGTTACGGTTTTTGCTGTATTTTGGATTTTAAAAAATGCAGGATTGAAAGAATTTCACATTTCTTGGTTGAATTAGGGCTAAATACAAATAAAAGGTGAACATTAATTTATTTGTGCTGGGTTTTTTTTCTTTTTTTTCTAAAATATTATATGGTTTTATATGAGGTGTCAGAGACTTGGCAAATTAATTTTTCATAAGTTTGTATGCACAGACATCTGTTGTGGCGTTCTTGGCAGTTTTTATGAGGCTTTTTTAAATAGTGTTTACGGCGATACGGTTTTATAGCAATATGGAATTATATCGTATCGACTGAAATTAAGAAATATATCGTGATATAAATTTTTGCCATATCGTCCAGCCCTAGGACAGCCATCTTGAATGGAATCTTGTCGTGTCCCGTGTAGTTAGGACATGGTGAATGACATTTATTGAAATTTATTCCTGTGAGGGCTAAGCTGAATTTTTAGAAGCCATTACACCAGTCTTCAGTGTCACATGATCCTTTAGAAATCATTCAGATATGCTCATTTGGTGCTCAAGAAACATTTCTTATCGATTTCTAAACATTTCTAAAGTTGTAAATCTTTACTGTCACTTTTGATCAATTCAATGCATCCTTGTTGAATAAAAAAAGAAAAGAAAAAAAATGTCTGAAAGGTAGTTTGGATTAATAAATGCTGCAAAAGTATAGTTCATTGTTATTTCATGTTAACTATTTTAAGATATTGTGAAAAATATGATGATGATTTGAACAGAACCTCCAGCTAAAATGGTTTGAGTTCTAAATATTAACCAACTTTGAATGCTTCCTAACCAGCAAGTTCTGATTTTGGTCAATCCACTTTACTGTAATTTTTGGTCCTCCAACTAGACGAGCACCAAACTGACATGAATCAACACGGAAATCCATGCAGATGGTATTTTCAGCAGTGACATGGCGGAGGCATCCGACCCAACACAAAACTAAATTTTCCCATATCTGCTTTCTGCTACAACACCTCCATCTTCCTGTGACCACCCAAACACGAACAGGCTCATCCACAAACACTCACTGGATCTCCATGTGACAGAATTTTAATGCTGTACATACACAAACTGATGCGACACCTAAATCAAACTTTTCAGATGTCAAACTGCATTCCAGAGAAGGTGACGAAAAAAAGCGGAGTGGTTGCGAGATTGCTTGAACGAGTGCCATCTTTGTTTTCATGCATTCTGCACTAGAAACAAAGTGCTGACACTGTGTGAATGCTTTAATCCAATAGACACAAGCACTTGCTTTATATGGCACATCCCTGTCCAATTCTTGCCATTTGATGTCTGCGTAGTCCTAGCAATTGAGCTCTTCACAAGGGAAACCGAGGATGATTAAAAGTCTAGGCTAAAAACACATGTTGTAAAAGAAGGCCTCTGTCATCCACTAGTGTCACTGTGGCCTTTAAGATAACCTTATTCTGTTGAGAACGAATACAATACAGACACTGCCAATGATCACAGGCGCTTCAATAACATCGAGTGTACATTTTAAATAGAGCAGACCTTTTCACAATAGACTGCTCCTTTTTCAAGACCTCAGAGTTGCACCGCGTTTTTTTAGTTGCATTTTTTCACCATTTCCATCTTACCATTTTAATTTTCAAACAGTTCACAAAAATAAATAAATAAAAAAACCTGACTTTCCTCTATGTATCTGTTAACAGTGTTTTAACATCTACTGAATAATGCACTACATCATAATTTTCAAGCCCAGACATCACATCAGCCCCGAGGCACAATATAATACATTTTAAATAACCACGGCATCATGGATCTCCTCAATCAGAGAGACATTTTTCATCGCTAGCTTTTGAAAATCAAGATTGAGTTGATGAATTTCCCGCAGGTCTTAGACTCAACCCATCCATCCACATAAAATATCGAGGTCCTTGGAGCTAAAAACAAAAGGACGGACATCACAAACCGTGGCATTTAAGTTTTATCATTCACAGAGAAGGTGTTGGAAAAATAATATATACTTGGGATCTTCGCCAGCATTCAAACTTGTGAGTTGTGAAGTGTCAAGCCTTGCAGGATTCATCTACGCCTAACTGCGAGGTTCAATTTATCTTCCCCATGAGCTGTATATGGCAGAGCGGTTTTGCATGACCACTGCCAGCTGCCTTAATCCTAGCCTGGGTTGCACTTATGCGCTCTAATTCAGCAGATCTAATTCAGAGATCATTTAAAAGCTGCAGCGCTGGAGGCCCGAGCCTCCGGCCCTGCAAAACTGGAGACCAAGCATTATAAAATCCTCCACAACATAAATGCTCCACCATTGAGCGTTTACTCGCGCATAGCCGGTGTGGCGTGTGCAACGGCACATGATGCTCAATCTGTCGCTGAATCTGGTCTTTCTCATGCAGGTGAGTGATTTTAGGCCACTCTAGTCAGTCAACAGAACTGCAGTACAAACTGACAATGCAAGGAAGGATGACACCAGCATCAATATCAGCTCTAGCATATCAGATCTGAAAAGACAAAACATTGGTCTTACCTCCTAAAACTTGCTGGAGAGCTGCAGCAGGAATGATGGGAAAGAAGAAAGAGAATAATAAATCAACAACACAGAATCCACCATTTGTCATTCAGCCTGTTGAAACTATAATGAGCAGAGTAAATGCCATTGCTGAAGAGAGTATGTATGTGTAATTGCTAGGTGAGACTATCAAAATATCAAGTTAGATGAGGTTTTATGTTATGGTTCACAGTTAAGTAAATATATCATGCCAAATACTACTATTATGAATCAGTTTATCCAAACTGTTACATGGAAAACAGGCTAAAATGAAAACTACTATAAATATAAATTTAATAACAGTATGTAGGCCTACTTGTAATCCTACACTTCATAAATATTCAGGTGTGGGAGCAAAACATCATGTGGATCCAAGAAAAATCATATGCATCAGTAAGATAAGCATTCAAGAAATGTGAATTAAGGAACTCAGAGGGTGAAAGTCATTTTAGAGTGGTTAAAGAGTATTACTCAAAAGCGTACATGATATCTTTGAGGGTATGTGAACTAAAATACCACCACTTGAGTATACAGTAAGTACTTACAAATGTTGTTAGCAGAAACTTTAAAAAGCTCATAATTGCATAGTCTACTGTAGATTTCAGTCTGACTAAAACATGATAAAAATGCACGCACCACTTGTTTGAGTCATAAATCAAGTACACTCAAATGTTATTGTCATTACTGCAGATAACCGTTTATAGTAGTCTAGATGATTAGACTCATGGGCGCTGGGATGCATGTTGCTTGTGTTGTTTTCTGAGATACAACGATTAAATCTATAAGAGTTTCTTGAACTTCAGGAACTTTTATTTCCCAGGGGTTGATTTTTATTAAAACTAACAGAATTCAACTTTTTTCTTTTTGTTATATAAAGGTCAAATTAAACCGGTCTTGAAACTTTTAACCAACTCTGTGTCCAAATGGACCACTGGACCACAAAACCAGTCTTAAGTCCGTTGGGTATATTTTTAGCAATAGCCAAAAAATATTGTATGGGTCAAAATTATCGACTTTTCTTTTATGCCAAAAATCATTAGGCTATTAAGTAAAGATCATGTTCCATTAATATATTTTGTAAAGTTCCTACAATAAATATATCAAAACTTAATTTCTGATTAGTAATATGCATTGCTATGAAACTTCATTTGGACAAGTTTAAAGGCGATTTTCTCACTATTTTGATTTTTTTTCACCCTCAGATTCCAGATTTTCAAATAGTTGAATCTCGGCCAAATATTGTCCTATCCTAACAAACCATACATCAATGGAAAGCTTATTTATTCAGCTTTTCAAAAAATTGACCCGTATGGTTTTGTGGTCCAGGGTCACAAATGTGCCTACTGCTCTACAATAGTAGGTGAAAAACAATGTGTGTAGTATTCATAAAACAGTAGGAGAAAAGTATGACAGTTTGAGAACTTAGACAGCTTGTGATTTTGAACGCAACTAATGTTTTCATTTATTTTTTCCTACTTTTCACATCTTTCATGTATAGATTTGTATTGTTTTACCCTTTTCCCAGAAATACTCAAATATTTAATCTAAATCAACTGAAATAAGAATTTATCTTAAAACATGACAATCCATCATAAAAATTTAAATTACTAAATTTAAAACTATGATAATCTGAACAAAGAGTGAAATAAAAATAGTGTCAGATCTTGATATGAAATTAGACTCATGTCTAGTCTATCTAGTAGAACATTTTAAACCCTTAGGCGGTGTTGAAAATCCTTTACCCAGTTTGGTGGCCTTTTAAAAATTGCTTGTAAATCTCTCATTACGCTATATTATCACCAAGTCTTGTATCTCAGTCTTGTTTTTTGGAACTAATTGGTTGCAGGTCTTATTGATCTGAGCTTATGCACCTCAGTTTTTGAGTGAAAAAAGACATTATTTGTGGATAATTCTGACAGTGTTCACTCAAAAACTGAAGTAACAAGTGCAACTAGGCAGGAAAAAAAGCGCAAAAAAATTATAGAATTATAAAAATTATATATATTATAGTGACAAAGTGTGTCTATATTTGTGAGCATTTTGGATGCATAAAATTCTAGCTATTAAATTAGAATTATGAAGATGTTGGCCATTTGATAAAAAAAATAATAATAAAAATAATAATAATAACAAAAACAATCTAATGTAATTCACACCATTTCCACTATAGAATGTTATTAAATGTACAGTAAATATACAGTACATAATCTGAGATGTGGTGCAAATGACACTGGAACTGTGTCCAGTGTGTCCAAAAATGGCAGAATTCTCCTTATGCATGCAAATCAAGTGTTGGACAATATAGTAGATACATTTAGCAGACAAATTAAAATTTGAAACAAACATTGCAGTATTTACTTCATAAATTCATCAAACCATTATCATACCATCAAGAGAAGTGACTTTTACTTGTACAGCACGTCTTACAATGAATATATATTGTATCAAATCATTTTTTTCAGAAAACCATGCCTTCGTATCCTCAGTGACTTGTTGTGACAAGAAAAAACCCCCCACAAGATCAAGTGAAGAAAGACAAAACGCTAAGTAGGAACCAGGATTATCCTCCTCCAAGGCACACATTACAATAAATGTACATACTGCTAAATATTATCTACTCACATAATATGTATAATACTAATCACACGTTCATTGTGTTTATTATTCATATGAATAAATCTTGGTACAGACAAAAAGTAATTTGGGACTCATTAATACCATAATTTGAATACTATGACGTTGAGAATACTTCTACAGCAAGTACTCCAAGAGGCCAAAAGGTCAGGTGCTAACTTAATGGCATACTTGAGACCACAGGACAGACTCAGGCAAGCACAGGTCCGAGTGAGGTTTGGAAAACCTTTCCTGTGAAATAATAGGAGTCAGGGGAGGACGTCAAAGGCTTGCTGGGTGGAGCTAGTGTGGGGCTGGACTGTCTGGTCATGAAAGGTGAGTCAGATCACTGTTGCCACTGTGATAATGAGGAGAAAGTAGCTGTGAGAGGAGCTGTTTGCAGCTCTTAAAAGGTGGAGGGCAACAATCCTCCCTCTAAAACACTAATGAGAACACATGGTGGTTTCTACAAGGCCATTGAAAACACAGACCTAACCCTACGGCCAATTAAAGAGGAATCTTTGCGAATGTTATTTTATGTTCATCATTATGTGGCCATGGAGAAGTTGGCACGTAAACGAGCACCCGGGAGAGGGAGGGCTGATCTATTATCCATTTTCCTAATCTTGTTCGCTCAACAGTTACAAATTAAATCTGAGGTTTCCAAGCAAATCTTAATGGACTGATTTATCAATGAAAAGGTTATTTGGACTGTGTCTGTCGGATACCACAGGTGCATTACGTTCGAGGGGGACGTTAGTGCACCCCAGCAATGTTTGCAAAGGGAAGCTGAAAGCACAACAATAGCCGGGACAAAAGACAACACAAAACCCTCAGCGCAAATGCTGCTCGATTGCCTGGAGCGAGACAGTAAATCTCTTAATCACACTGTGTTTGTGGGAGCTGCTTGCTTGGCTCTGGATATCAGGCCATGCAAAACTGTCAACCGCCCATAAATCACGAGGGCCGCTTTAACCTTTACAAGTGCTCTCCTTGGCTCCCTCAAATTGGTCACGGCAACAAAGTCCCGAATTGTAATGAATTGAGCATGGCCATGAGAGCTGACATGGTGACAGCGTCTGGAGCTTCTCAAGATAAGCGTGCTAGGCTAGCACCACGCGGGTTATTAGCATGATCTCAGCCTGTCGGTTTGAAAAAGCCAGAGTGGCATGTAATCTGTCTCTGTTTAGCAAAGTGATGCTAATCCCTTTCATGAACTGAATCAGGTCCTCCAGTGTGAACTCAAATAAGACTAGGCATCTCCATCAACCACGACAATAGAGGAAGTGTCTGTTTACAGGAGCTAAAATATGAAATCAACAGTCTTTTTGATTGCTATTGCAGTAAGTCAATAATATAGGTGTCACCCACTTCACAAAACAGCTTCTCACAGGTAGCATGGCTTCTTGCCAGCAACTTATTGGCAGCTCGTTTCATTATCTGTTTTTGCAAAAGTTCATTTGATCTTTCTGCATAATTGCATGTGTGAATGTTGCAACACAGAGGCTGAAAATCACTTCAACAATGTCTTACTTTCACTGTACCTCAAAAATAATAAGTATTATAATAAGGACAAAATAAAAATTTATTTTACCTTAATTTTTTCTTCACACATCACATGTCATGTTTCATCTTGAGCACTGATAAGCAAGTCTACCTGGTAAACAAGTGTACTTTTGATCAAATTTTATGATTTAAAGTCAAAGTCTGGAACAATCTTGTTTGATCTATATGATTAAAATGACATATTTCCTTTTTGAAATCAGGAACAAATAAATGTTATTCCAATTACATCAGTGGCACTTAAGAACTAATTTAATGAAAATTACTCTTTATTAATTAGCAAGCTAAATAAGTAACAAGTAATCCTGTACTGGCATTTCATGAGAACATGAACTCCAGCAGTACCCCTTTGTCGCTTTGCAGTCTGCCTTTATTTTCCACTATAAGGATTTTGAAAATGCAAAGCCACACAGGCAAACCAGCAAATGCACTTGAGTGCACAGGGATGGGATTTTCCTAGGTCTAAAAGCAAATCTGACAAGCTCCACCAAGCTCCTTTTATTAAACAAAGAAAGCAAATGCAAGCAATATCTAACACGAAGATCCTTTCCCCTCTGAGAAGGAGAGCTAGCATTCATTTTGACCTTGCAAAGGTCTGCCGCAAAAATCAGGTGGTGTGTTGACAGATCATGTAGACCTACCGATAACTGAGTGTTCATTGCATGAAAGAAAGTAAGTGGGTGAATCATGAGGGACACTGAGTTGGAAAATTAAGTTTTATATGAATTCTCATTCTCATGTACAGATTTTTTTCCCCACTAACTCCAAAGATAGATGTCATTATTTATACAGTGGTGTGAAAAAGTGTTGGCCCCCTTCCTGATTTCTTATTTTTCTGCATCAGTAGGTCAGTGTTCATGACTCCATCGTAAGAAAGAGACTGGGCAAAAATAAGACGAGAACCACTGCTGAGCAAAAAGAACAAAGGCTCGTCTCAGTTTTGCCAGAAAACATCTTGATGATCCCCAAGACTTTTGGGAAAATACTCTGTGGACTGACGAGACAAAAGTTTAACTTTTTTGGAAGGTGTGTTTCCCCATAGAGCACAGCGACGACTCATCCAAGAGGTCACAAAAGGCCCCACAACAACATCCAAAGAACTGCAGGCCTCACTTGCCTCAGTTAAGGTCAGTGTTCATGACTCCATCGTAAGAAAGAGACTGGGCAAAAATAAGACGAGAACCACTGCTGAGCAAAAAGAACATAAAGGCTCGTCTCAGTTTTGACCTCACTCGCTTGCATTTTGGCCCCAAAAGAAATACAAAACTGCACAATGGCAGCAGATGTCTGTCTGAAAACAAAATACAGACATGCTTGCATCCTTGGCACACACAGCTCGATGTTGAGGGCAACCCAGACTAATTTGTGTTGATAAATAAGACAGACTCTCAGTCTACATTATTTAATCCTGGGGAGCGGATGGCCTTGTTTTCACAGTGAATGCTCGTTCCCTGAACACTTAAAGAAAAGCCTCTGCGAATTGAGTCTCTCATACAGAGTAAAAAGACCAGTGTAGTAATGAAGTCCAACATTACATGAAAAGGTTTTTGTCTGATGCAAACTAGACCTCTTCCGTGCTTTGCTCTTGCTTTTATAGAAGACTGTAGACTGTAAGGGTGGGCGGCATGACCAAAAACCTTATATCACTTAATATAAGAGTAATTGTAAATCATGGAAACGGTATACATAATGAAACAGTTATTTTTGCAATATTGAAACCGTTGTAGCTCAAACAGTATGGCACTAGCATTGCCAAGGTCATGGGTTTGATTCCCAGGTAAGCCGTGAATTGATCAAAGGTAAACCTGGAATACAATGCCAGTGAGCTGTTAAGTCGCTATAATATCATATCATGCTTTATATATAATATAATATAATGAATGAATTATATTATTACATTATAACAATTGGTTTGCATTAATCGAGTGAGTGAGTGCAAGTTATTCATAAATACAAGTTATAGAATGAATAAAATCAAATACTATAAAATACAATAGAAAATAATAGGGGCTTTTAATAATATTTTATATTATTATTTTAATAATTTGGAGAGGAGAGGAGAGGAGAGCACCCATCTGTGACAGTTTGCAGAATGTATTATTTTTGCTTACAATAGTTTTTCGCTTGGTGCCAGATTCTTTAAACCACAATGAGGATATACTGCAGTATAAATGATACAGCAGAATCTCGTCCAGCCCTACAAGACTGTAGTACTCTGAAGTAAAGTAAAAGTAAAAGCCTGCTTTCGTCATCTCCAGGCATATGAAAGCATCCCGTTAATGCGGAACACTTGTGCCTGTGTGCAATTCTGCTTATGTGCCTTTTAAAACGGTAACTGTACTGATATTAAGAGCTCCCAGCAGGCCCGTGTTAATGCTGTATATACATATATATATATACATATACATATATATATACACACACAGGTCACAGAAGCGGTGGTGATAATACAGCATCTGACCAGCACTGCAGTTTATGCACTGCTCATATATTGGGTTGAGACCTCATTAGTATGCCTGATGCAGATGCGAGAGAAAAGATGCACACACTGCTTATATATCGCTTTGGCCTAGATTTCCATTGTGGCGAGGGCAGCCTTAATTGATACTGACGGCCCTCTTAGCTTTGAGGGTAAAAGCCTGCAAAATTTCACCTGGGAGGTTTGACAAGGGCACGGTGATGGAGCCCACTTCCCACTCACAGTCTGGGAATATTGTTAAATATGAAAAGACATGTGTGTAATTAACCACCACCATTTGATGAGTCTCTGCTAATTCTTCAGAGGATTTGTTATACCAATACTTAACTAGAAATAATAATTACACTGTGACTCTTGATTATCTATGCATTTTTTTAAACACTCAAACATTGTTTGATAAGTCTGTCTTCCAATGGATAATCCCTGGAGAAAAAGCAAGGAATTAAATCATGCAAAAACCAATTGTTCTCTTTAATATTGTCCTTTACCAGTGTCAAATCCAATTTGCTCAATCAACTTTCAGCATGATTTATTTTTCTTTTCTTAACATCTCCCCGTCCCACATATCTCTCTTCTTTTGAAGCGCCGGAAAATTTCATCTTAATTCGAAACGTACTTGCTGGACTCAGTCACGCTGGCGTTCTTTCTGTACAGAGCAAAGCCCCGTTTCCTGTCGACTCCACAGTGGGTAACCTGAGACTGCATTAAATGAAAAGCCAAGCATGAGCTGCCACTGTCTCTGTCCTCGCTGCCTGTTCAATTAGAAGAGGACACGGGCCAAATATATTTCTGTATGAAGTCATGCAGATTTGGCCTCGGGTTTAACACCGTACCGCCATATGACGGACGGTGACTTCTCCAAAGGGCTGAGACATTGCTGAGTGGCCCTAATTAGTCTACATATGTCACCTAGAACAGTTTCTATGGCAAAGTGCTCTCCCATGTTCCAACACATGTCCATGTTTTCATCAGATTAGTAGGGGAATATGCTACACATGCATACAGATCGTACACAGCTAGAATTACAAATGCAAAAAATGTTTCTTCTACTACAGGTCTGTAGAGGTAAGGCATGATAATTTTCTGGCAAAATACATCAATCCAAAATGCTTGGATATGATTTACTGGTGCTTTTTATTGGATTTTGCATAATAATACTGATATAAAATGAAAGATGTCTCATGGTGATAATGCTAAGATGATTTAGTGGATTATTACTTTGGTAGATTACATTATTTTCATTTATATTTCTGAATTTTCTGTATCTCTTTATTATAACTACATTTCCCCCTATTTTGTTTAGCTACATTTTCAGTAATAAAATGGCCAAAAGAAACCATTTGATTTGAATGAAGCTGATATCAGGGTACAAATAATGTACTATCCTTATCTTTCTGTCACATGTTTGGGATGCTTTTTTTGCATATCAATCCTTTATTTACAGTTAAAATAAAATAAAAATCTAAACAGCTGTAAACACGCAAACCCTCGGAACCTGATCTAATGAGATCTACAAAGATATCTCATTAGCTATAAATTCTCAAGGCATTTTAAAAGGCTAATGTGCTGTAATAGCAGACCATCTAAAACACACCACTGTAAAAGTGGTGTGTTTCAGTGCTTCATTAAAGTCGACGACATGAAACGAAAATTCAACCTATTCACATCTATTTTCTAAATACCTGTAATAGATTTTTTTTTTTGACCTTGTCATTTTAAAATAAAAAATGTCATAATGTATGCCGGACTTTTAGTCTGCTAAAACTTCACCTCTTTTCATCTACCCCCATTTTTTTAGTGCTACACCCACATCTCAAAACCAATCAAAAAATGATGCGTAGAACCAAGTCTGTTCCGGTTACACCTGAATGTATGTCACAATATGGAATAAAAAAAATCTGCAATAATTTACGCTTTATCATGACTTCAAGGAAGAGATTATCTCCTTTTTATATTTATTTTTTGCTACTCAACCTTCATGTCATTCCAAATCTGCATGACTTTCTCTTCTGAGGAAGGCAAAAGGTGATTTTTTAAAAGAACATCCTGGCCACTCTTGTTAATATAATACAAGTTAATTAGAAATGAGTTAGTCAAACAGCAAAATGGTAAAGTACCATAAACGCATCATAGAAGTGGTCCATCTGACTTGCATGCTATATTCATAGACTTCTGAAGTCATGTAATAGCTTTGTGTGTAATTTAAAAGTTGACATCTCCTCTAATCTTCAACTCACTGGTTCACTGATTTGGATACACACTGGACAACAGTTCACTGGAGAGGAAGATTATCAGTGAATATAGTCTTAATTTTAAGTCGGTTCCTCACACAAAGCTCTTATATGACTTCAGAAGACTTTAAATATAGTGCACAATTCACATGAACCACTTTCAAGCTGCTTTTGCACTATTTTCAAAGCTTGAAATCCCATTTATTGTAATTGCATAGAAAAGAGCAACCAGACTATTATTTAAAATGTCTCCTTTTGTGTTCCACAAAAGAAAGAAAATAACACTAATTTAGTTACAAACCCATGTGATGGCAGAATTTCCATGTTTGGCTGAGCTATTCCTTGTAACATGATTGAATCACCCAACTTTCCTAAAAATTTCAGTTACATCATAGATAATGCAAATATTTTTGCAGTCAAACAGCATTTTAAGTGCATAAGAAGAAGATAAGACAAACCCTCAACCAAACGATTAGAAAACAGGCAGACCAGATCAGATAAAGTTGAATAATTTCCAGCTCCTGAGCCCTTGAGTTCCTTAAAAGCAAACATTTTACCTTGACAGCTAAGTGCGTTATCCAGTTAGGCATTGTGATAAGAACATCTTCATGTTATGTAAGGCCTTGAAGCACATCATCTTGCTTACCTTCAGTGCAGTATTTCCCTTTGTAGCCAGTATTGGAGCAATCGCACAGCACCTCACTGTCATGAATGGAGCAGCGTCCTCCGTTGCTGCACGGGTTTTGTTTGGTACACAGGTATTCCAGATCGTTCTTCACGCCCTGACTGTCCAGGAGAGCAGGAGGAGTCTCTCCTAACTTCAAGTTGGCGATCAGGCCTCGGAAAGGCGGCTCGTATTTGACCGTGCTGGAGGTGAGGGCCGAGAGACGCACGTCCGGTGGGATCCCACCCACGTACAAGTCGCTGGCCACCATCATTTCCCTTCGTTTGGACTTCACCTCCACCACTTTGTTCTCCCCATCCATCGCCAGCATGGTCTCACGGTAATTCCTCGTGAGCAGTACGCGATGCCAGCGTTCATCGTTGATGTGCGTCTCCATGTGCAACGAGGCCGGCTCGCCGCAGTGGATGGCGAAGCGCAACTGCAGACGGCCGTCGTTGATCAGGAGCTCCAGGAAGTCACAGTTGCCGCCATCATCCAGGTACAGCACTACAGCTTTGCTGATGTTCGTCTTCATGGTGAAGCTCAGATCTCCGGTGGCTCCCGCCTCCCAGGGTCCATAGCGAACCCACTGACCCGGCAGACCATCAAACTCCAGAGCAGCAGTGATAGCTATGGCCACCATGAGCCCAAGCCAAAAGGAGGCCCGCGAGAACTTCGCGCCGCACCTCCACTTCCGTGTCATCATCTTCCAAGTGTGCTCCTAATCCTCCTTTTCTAATGTTCCGTTTCTCTTAATCCACTGCAGAGGAGAGATTTATTCCCAGTGTAGCGTATTAATATATCTGGCCTTTTCGAAAATAGCGCTGCAGAATTGGTAAGGTCCCAGTTTTCAAAAAAAAAAAACTAATATTTAAGAGTTTCTTTTCACTAGATTCTCCATCTTGATTCTCTTCTGAGTATCTCCATTGAGGAACACTTCTGAAAGACCATGTACGAAAAAAAAAACTCACACGGTACTTAGTGCTTTGAAATCTAAAACTGCCCTAAAAATCTAGTTGGCTCGACATGTTAAAAGACCGATTTATGCATCTCACCCTCTGGTGAAAGTAGGATTACTGCTGCGGTTGTATTTTTCATTTTGTGGGTAGTAGGTCAAATACATGATTTCTTTCCACAGCAAACCTCAGCTCCCCTTAGAGAAGTGCATCTGCATTCCACCGGCAAGACGTCACCACCAGAAATCCTCTGACCAGGCCTCTGAAAGTAAAAAAAAAAAAAAAAGACAATATGTTATTGTTATTTTATTATCAAAAACGGTTACAAACTTTCATGTTCCCCTAAATTTTGTCTGTGACTCACATCAAAGTGCAATAATTTCTGACCTTTTATTGTGAATTTCTATTAGGAGGCCAGTTTGATCAAAATCAAGACCTGGCAGTGTCATTCCCTCAGCTGAGGATCTTTGAGAGTAACACACTGGGCTAGTTGACAGATCCCCTCATTCTCTTTGCAAATTTGCTGATCAGTTTACAGATGAATATTCACAAACCAGCTCGCAGCTAGTGTTTTAAACAGCTCTGAGCCTCCTGAAGGCCTCTCAGTCAATCAACACCTCTCTCTTTCACCCATATAGTGACTGAGCATAGTAGTGCACTAGTGACAGCGTCTGACAACAGAGGATGACAGATAATAAGACAGAATTTGAGTGTAGTACGGCATCAGGTGAGGAGTGAAAATGATGCATGTTTATTAATGAGGAGTATGCAGCGGCATGATCACACCATACTCCTTTTATTTGGGTGAGCTGTATGTGTGCTGAATTCATTAAAGGGAATATGCAAATCTGCGATAACTGCTTAATGGTTACAGCAAATCAACAGTAACATCTGATCTTGCAGGTCAGTTTTGAGTGCTAGACTGTGGAGGTTACAGCAGACTATTGCAATATACACACACTGTAGAAATTACATATAACCAGTCATATATCAAGAGTCTGGAGATACTGAGTTTATTAATGAGTATGCAGCGGCATGATCACACCATACTCCTTTTATTTGGGTGAGCTGTATGTGTGCTGAATTCATTAAAGGGAATATGCAAATCTGCGATAACTGCTTAATGGTTACAGCAAATCAACAGTAACATCTGATCTTGCAGGTCAGTTTTGAGTGCTAGACTGTGGAGGTTACAGCAGACTACTGCAATATACACACACTGTAGAAATTACATATAACCAGTCATATATCAAGAGTCTGGAGATACTGTATGGCACTGTATGTTATCTGCATTATCTCCATAATTTAATCATCATTTGATGAATTACTACTTGTTCATCAGAAAACACAAGATAGCTCTTTTTAAAAAAGAAAAAAAAAACTTTAATGCTTGGTTTATGTGGAATAGTTGGATTAAAACTGAGGCAAGTTTTCACAAAGTTTTGTGAATGATACATAGTATACATTTATAAATAATTGTACCATTCAATCAATCAATCAGTCAATGTTAGTCGTAATGGTTCAATAAATTAAGAAATAAATACATACATAAAAATCAAGCCTACGTGCCCTGGGTGCGTGGCGTTCTCATTTTTAACTAAACAGGTCTTGCTAAACATATGCAGGTTGGGAAACCAGTTGGAAATCCAAATAGAAAACATTCCTCTCTTTCTCCCGGTACGGTCATTGTCATTAAAGTCATTATCTGCCCTTGAGAGTGATGTATGACTACAACACAGTGCATAACAATGAAGAGAGCAGAAGAGGTGACCCTGACAAAGCATTTGGCATGTTTCTGTCCACTTATGACAGTGAGAAAACCCACTCCGAATTGTTATCTACCCCCTAATGATGTTTTAGCGCAGATTTAAGCACTCAAAAAACTTGCTGATCAAAGCCTGGTTCCCAGGTCAGTGTGCTATCTGAGCTAGAACCAAATAGAGTTAGCCATGCTTTCTGCTCTTACATTGGAGAGTAATGGACAGCATAAGGATGCACTGAGGGCACTTTAGGGAGCGAGTCCATGGCGTGAATGTACAATTAGCACATACGCAGCAAAACGCCCACTGAATACATGAGCATCTTTTGTCAAGCTTATATTTAAAGATCACACTCGAATTAGTGCATTCATATTCAATTAAGCATTGCGGTTCTGCCTCACATTATTTCCTCTTGATGTTTCTTTTAATTAGCCAAATCAAATTGACATGATTAAAAACAGAGTCCTCCTCCACTACCTACCCACACGAAATGGCAGTTCCGGAAATAATCTACCCCTTTTTGTAGCTGCAGAACAGCATCCGGGGCTGTGCTAAGCAGGAATGGCAAACGTTTAGCAAATGGATGGTTCAGATTGTGCATTCACGACTTCAGAGCACTTGGTCCATATGAGGAGAGATAATTGAGATGAGGTATGTGACTAGTCGCGAGGGAGAAGGCAGCCCGCTGCAATGACAGAGAAGCGGTCTGTCCTTTCAGCACCACGGACAGCAGCCAGCAAATATCAGCACCACGGACAGCACCACTGACCTGCCATCAGTGAGAGCTCCAGGCTTGGATGTGAGATCAGTAGAGCGGCATAGGATGCAGCTGAAATCCCATTTAAGCAGAACTGTGTGAGGCTCAGAGGGAGAGAGCTATAAGCTTAAAGTCCCAGATGATTGGGCTAACTCCACCTGTCTGATGGACGAAGGGTTCAAAGCAAGAGCAGGTAGAGGCTAGCAAACTCTTTGACATGCTTTCTGTAATCTAACACCCACTGGACCTTGCTTCAACCCATCTTTGTGGAAAACCTGCCCTTTTTACTGTGAAGTCTCATTGGAGGTGGGAATGCATTCGACCCAGGGCTGCCAACCACAGGTCTGTGGAGAACACGGACTACATAAAACTCCTCTTGACATTTCCAAACTCTTAACTAATTTCTAACTTTCCATCTCATGATCTGAGAGATGAGACATTATATCAGGGTGTTTCTTCAACATTAAGCAATTGTGTCCTAAGAGATGATATTTATCTTTTTTGTTATATAAACGTCTGTAATAAAACTGTATTAAAAATGTTATCACGCAATTTTTCTTTTTAAATAATGACTTTTGTTTTATGAGTACATCCATAAAATTTACATAAAAGACCCAGACTTTTGATCTTAAAATATGAAAAGCCATCCATACTTTTATATTATATTATATTATAGTATATTATATATTAATTTCTACATTGGAGTCTTGAGTCAAGGCTGGTCATAGCTACTGCATATTATTTATTTTCAGTACTTTCAAAGAAAAACTATGGCTAGTCCTGCTAATTATGCAGAGAATTCAGGTCTCATTAAAACTGAGTGCTTGCCAGTGCTGTGTGGAGGTGTTGAGGAAAACCTCCAAATGTACACATCATGAGTTATCATCAACTTGCTTAGCAGGGAACAAGTGTTTACCATTTGCACAGCAGTAATTGTGTCTAAAAAGGCTAAACAGGAGAATACAAAAATATTCACTTCATTGTATATACTTTTACACACTTAAGATGCTTTTGACAGCTTGATGTGAATATGAGTAGGAACTCGAGGATTGACGAGGGACAATTCTAGAGGAATATAATCTTCATAAGCATTTATATCAAAGCTCAGCCAAATGTTGCTGGATGAAAGAGGCTCTCTGTGAATACCATCCATCGGAGTGCAGCAGGAGTTGTGATGCTCCATTAAAAACATGTGTACGTGTAAATGTGAGATGGAGAGAGAAGGAAGAAAGCAGGGGGTGAAAAGAGGGGGTGGACAGAGACAAGCAAAGTCGCTGGAGGGAGAAATAACACTTACAAATGAAATGCTCAGACACACAATTCCATTATTAAAGCATCTAACATGTGATCCAAAGACAACTTTAATTACCCAGGTGCCTAAAACGATTGCACTGTCTACACGCATTCAGAACATCCGTGAAGCCTCGGGAAAAATCATGCAGAACATGAGGGAGGGAACCTTGGGAGGCGGAGCTATTTTGATTGACGCATGTCTCGACTCCAGCGACAGCTGCGGAGTCCACTCAAAGACAAATTGTCAAGCACATAATCGCAGGGTAAAACATACAAGATCTAATTACCACACATTGTCGGAGTTTCCCCTTCATTCGATCTTGCAGGTGCCAGAAATAATTGCCATGTCTGAAAAGCAAAGAGTAGGCAAAGGCAAATCGAAAGAACTGCGGCTAATGGAATACGGGCCGAGGCGACTGTTGTTTTAAAAACCCCTCCGGTAAGAAACCATTGAGCTGTGAGGTGGGTACTGCAAGTATGCATGCGTTGTGTTTTTCCTGACATATTGCAGAGTACGCAAAAAAGCCCCTCGGAATATCTGCTGTGTCATTGCATTATCTGATTTGCCATTCTGTCTGTTTTTCCAGCATGCTTCCGCTGTTTGGAGGGTTTAACAGCTATAGGAAGTGGGGCGGTTTACGGCATTGAGTGCAAAGCTGCGGGTTGACAGGGGTGGAAGTGTGGTCAAGACTTTGTGTGGCAGCTCTTGCAAGGGGACAGAGCTTGGCGGCAGGGATGTGAATGGTGGCGAGGGGAAGGGAGGACACTGTCTTGGCTGAGTGGATGGAGAGGCCCTGGAGACCCTGGTGTGATGTAGTGCCGTGCGGAGCATGGAGCGAGCGATGAGGTCAGGGCACAGCAGATACAGCATGTGGGCCTGCAGTCCTACAGGACCATCTCATTTGTTTCCTATCACTTCCACAGTCCAAAGGGAGGCCTGAGCAAGCAGGAACCAGGGGGAGGACATAAATAAATCTATGCACATGTCACATCTTGAGGATGATATGACACAAAATGCTGGGGTTCAGTCTGTTCCACACACACGGGGTCATAGATCCTGGGGGGAAAACCACAGGACTTGTACTTTACAACATTCACTGTAATATTGAAAGTAATTGTTTAAAGTTGCAAATACATGTTCTTTCTCCCCCCTGTGCCCAGAATCTTCATACAGGTAAAGATCAGCCATGGCAGGTGTATGACTATTTAATGAACTAGAAAGAGAGCAAAACAGTCCCATTAATTTCCTCCAACATCAATGTTTAAACATTTTAAGACAGACCTACAGTACCATGAGCTCTGAAGTCATTAGGGTGAAGATAAATGCTTTTGTAAAAGCTACAATACAGTGTTATCAACTACAAAAATGACATTTAATAGCCTCAGTAATTGTGAACAACAACATTATCCATGATCCATCAATTTCTGTTTATTTGTTTTTTAACAAAGTTT